GCGATATGGAAGATCATTATGTACCAACTATAAATCTTGGTATTCAAAATACTGAAAGAGGTATTTTTCTGATATACGAAATGAATGTTTCATTTGATTTTTTTTTTTTTTTTTTTCATATTAATGCATTATTTGAAAGATTTTAGAAAAAAGCGGTGATTTTTCAGATAAAATTCTTCTTTTTTGCCAAATTTGTCAGCAATTAAGTGCTCTAAAGTCAGAGTTAAAAGTTTTTAACTAGTTAAAATAAAACAGGACACTGTGGAAAAACTTTTGGTATATTGTCATATTATTTGAAAAATGACGAAATGGTAAAAAGGAGGTGGTTGGTGATAACAGATGATGATACTTTGATAAGGTAAGCTTTGCTTTATTGTACATACAACTTTTTTTTTTAATCCTATTAATGATTGAAATATATATGAGCTAAATTGTTTCACTTCATACCTTCTCTTTATTTCCGCATCATTAGCACCAAAATGCAATCAGTAAGTTTGCAGTGTTCCAAGACTATATGAACTTTTATCATGTTATGATACAGAGAAGGAAATAATTATTGGTGAAAGATACGGTTATGGTTTTAGTGCTGATGGTCGTGAAGGATATGATTATCCAACTGGTGGTTCTGGGTAAGTTTTTATTTATCATATATGATATTATTGATCATTAAGTTAATACACTAGAAGTTCAAATTACAGAATGATATTTTCGCGAAAAGCTGTAGAAAAAATTACAGCTTCCTGTGGTTGTCCGAGTATCGATTCACCTGATGATATGATTATTGGTAAGTGCTTTTGCATATCTTTATTAAAAATTTTGAGCTTTAAGTCTGGATTTGTAATTGTAAACTTATATTCCAAAGATTTGAAGTTGAAATTTTGTTAATCTTCTGCATTATTTTGAATTTTAAAATGATAATTGCTTTTTGAAATATTGGTAAATTGTTATGGATATTTATCAATGTATTATGAGGCATTCATTAAGGCTTAATATATGATAATGTATTGTCACTGATATCTTTAAATTTAGGAAATATTGCTAGATTTGTAAGAAAAATTACGCAATTTATCTGGTTCTTTTTTCTTATTTTCTTGCATGCTTTCACTTCGATCTTTTACCTGACGAATTTACCATTACTTTCAGGTATGTGTGCCCGTCGTCTTGGCATCCCCATAATTCACTCTGCAGCCTTTCATCAAGCTCAGCCGGGCGATTATTCAGAATTGTACCTTAAGCGAATACGGCCTATATCATTTCATAAATTCATAAATATAGATCCATATGAAGTTTACATGGAACGCCTATATGAATCGTCCGCTCAAACAGCTAGTCGTCCAGTACATTCCGAGTTATGAATAATTTGTTCGTAGTTGATGTAAGGAGTTGAACATGTGCTCAGTTGGAGAAATCTTTTTAGTCCTTTCAGAAAGTAGACTAATGGAAATGATAGATATGATAAAAGCTTGAGTATAGTAGACATATATGTCGTAGTTACTGTCGTACTTTCAAATATTCTTCGGGAAATTAGATCCATGATATATCTTTGAAATTTCTAATAATTTCAATATTAAGTAATAAGGTTTTTTTGATGATTAGAAGAGCGCCCTACCATGTTTGGATAATATTAACTAAGTAGTGTCCAAAGAAAAGTTCGTTATATTTATCATCAATGTCCTTAAAAATATTTGTACCTTAGCAAACCATCAAGTTTCTACAGCATTATAAGAGGAGTACTTTTCCCCACCTATACTGATATTAGAGTTTTAACGTCACCTTAATATCTGTGTTCAATTAAGTTGTAGTATGACAATTTGTTGATAAATTATGCCATAAGGACACTATTATTTTTTTCATTCTTATTTCTTGCATAAGTTTTGGTTTAAAATCTTTTCTCTATATTATGCTTCTCTTTCATTAATTTCCCGTTAATTTTATTCGAAACGGGTATTTCTCATCAATTTTCTCATGAATTGGCTCTGTGAATAATTTTTGACATGACCATGTTTTCACAATCAGTGCAGTTTCGATATTCATATAAATGATGAAGCTAAACAGTTGTTTACCAAATGATTGATTCATGAAAAGTTATGGTTGCTTACCGTATTAATATTCTTATATTTTATTAATGTTTGGTATCATGGAAAAAAGGAACTTAAGACATCCCTTGGGGTTTTTTTTTTTTTTTTTTTTAAACTAAATGATATTATAGATGTATATTTAATATTTAATGCTTCATACTTACACATTTTTCACTTATATCGCTTGTGTTTCGGACCGGAACTTTGTAATGAAAGACAAATTTTATGTATAACTTCTATTGCAGTAATACACGATGCGAGCAGCGCCTTTTCTATCCCGACTTACTGTTCTTTCCAGGTTACCAAACAGATGCTGTCAAACAAGTCAAACAGGGTCACCGAAGGAGTAAGTTTTGTCATTTCTGAACTTGGTTATTGAAGGACTAGTTCTTGTATATTGTAATTATAAAAGTGCTTAAACTAATTTTGATGATTAGTATTATTTCCAAACTAAATTTGATTCTCATTATCAGATATGATATCTGTTAGTATTGCTGTTTGACTACTTTCCATTTTGTCCTTCACTTATAGATACTTATAGATTCAGTCAATCTTAGCACTTGTTTTAAATTACTTTTTGATTCTTTTCTAGGGATAAATATGAGATGTTCCGTAAATTAAACGAATATGCCAGTTCTGGATTGTGGGATGATAGGTACAATAAACCAAGATTATTTCTTTTCGGTAAAAATCGGCAAAAAGTATATGAAATTCATGATAAAATGGTTTGTTTTATCTTCAATTTTACAGTGAATTTATTATCTATTCAAAAATTCATTTTTCATTGAGAATCTTTCGTTTCTTCCATAGACAAATTAGTAAATTATTTTAAGAAGCCGAATAAGCTTTTTCATCTTTTCATTGTGCACTTGCATAAATGCGATTATTAATAATCGTACTAATTTATAATGAAAATTTTGAAATATCAGTATATAAAGAAATGGTCTCATACCTGTTTTATGTTTTTTCGTGTTCATATGCTCTCAGTGACAGAGGATTCCTTCTAGCTTATATTTATTAGTTTGATGCTTACATAATTGCAGACACCTAAAACAGATCCATTTTTTCAACGATCACCATATGGGGTGCATTTGGAGGTAATGTATCGTTTAAGTTTGGGAATTGCCGCCATAACGATTATTTGCTCATTGTATGTTATGTTGATCCCGGAGGAGAAGCGTCTAAAATACAAATATCGCAAAGAGCATCATGCTTCTGGTGAAGAACATAACTGATCCAAAAATTCTTCATATTTAAATTTAATTTATAGGATAAATTTGCTACTTCGTTTCATCCGAAAATGAGTTATAATTTCACTCAAAAGCAGGAGCCGAAATTGTTAATATGGGTATAACTGTTAAGTATTATTAAGAATGATAATTGTAGGGTATTATTATAATAAATAGTATTAGTAGTTAACCTTAAGAGAAAGTCCAGTCTTTTGGTTGCAATTTTTTCATATACATATTATATATATTTATCATTGGCAATATGGTTTAGTAACATTGTGAATGCATTTTGAGATGTTGCTGATCTTAAAACTTTATTTGAATAATTTATCTTTAACATGTAGGTTACAATGTATTACAGGTCATGTTTTCACAGTTTTTTTTTTTTTTTTTTGATAAAATTTGAGTATCTGTCTGCGCAACACATGATCGATGTATACAATAGATTACTGGAAGAGTTGTTAAAATAAATGCTGATAATACTCTTTCCTCTCAAAGTTAGATTTACTCTAGATTATATATATATATATATATATATATATATAGAGAGAGAGAGAGAGAGAGAGAGAGAAGTTACGGAATTTGTAAACAAATGGGCAATGTAATAATATGATCAATTCATACTAATATTTTTATTTTTCTTTTTTAAGATAAATGATATGCAAATTTAAAATATTTTTAACTATAAAAGGGAGGTAATGTCATTTTACGTTAATAGTTTTGATTATTACAATAAATTGCTGATGGCAAATAAAGATTCTCAAATGGAGACAAATGCGCGAGAAGTTGATAGCGATGAGTGCGTTTTGATGTAACATCATTAATACTAATAATCATAGAATTTTTGGATGATGATTTGTTAAAAAGAAGCGAAATATTTATAAAAAAATGTAGTTTCAATTAAATGGCTAAGCAACAATTATATTAGAATTTTTAGTCTCTGAAAGTTTCTGATATGAATGTTTCTAGTAGTGCAAGAAGAAAAGCAAATCTTAACCAATATATTTTTTTTCGCAAATTTTTACGAATGCTTTAAAAAAAGATAATTTTAACTGGAGTCATGTTCCAAGCGTTCCAATCTATCACCACATTTCCCGATCTTAGTTTCAAAATATAGAATTAATTTTTATTTTCATGCTATAGAATCGATTTACTATCCAAATTCAAACTATGTTTTGTCCTACGAACACTTCATATTGCTAGCGAACAAAAACATTACAAAGTACGATATTGTGTTAAAAATAGACAAAATAATGTGAAACTTATGCTTATGGTCACTGCACTTGTTAATGGTACCACTCTTCGAGAAACGGTTCAGTTTATTTTACAAAATCTGTAAACAGTACTGTTTGATTTTGAGTGAAAATTTCTCTCATAAAGAAGATAAATTGTTTTTTGACATCGGTCAAAATTGAATTTTCTTTTTCTTTCACTTATCTATCATTAAGTTTATTTATTTACTTCATTCATCATTGTAAAATGTTCAAACTTTAAGATAAAGTCAAAAAAAAGCGAAAATTCTCACAGTTATCTTATTGAATTTACTTATCTATATGAATTATTTAAAGTAAATATTGAAAATTTTTAGCTAAATGAGTTAATTAAATGTGCAGAATTTGAGAATAGTCATCGCTTTTTACTGTATTCTTCTGTTTTTATTTTTCGACACTTTTTATTTGTGGAATATCAAACAATGGCCTATGATTTGGAACAAATTCTTCATGTTAAACGAAAGTAAATAAATTTTTTTGATTTTTATAAGCAAAATTTTTCTAAGCACCACTAAAAAATCCTTTACCTCTACTACACTTCATATTACATCTCATTTTCATATAGAAAATATAACTGTTACTTTTTAAAAGTTTTATTCTTTCATTTAATTTGTCCATAAACAGCCCAATTATTCGTTTCAAATTTCTAACTGAAATTTACCATCGATCATATGCTTCAAACATTTTCATTTGTTTCTTAAATGTATTCTCATCTGCTCGTATAGTTCACTTTCTATATCCTACAATATACTTAATAATTATTTTACAGAAATATGATAGACAATAATGAAGTGTTGATAACTTCAGTATTAAGTGAAAATATTATTGGACATATTTTGCGTAAAATTCTTAAGGTAAGGCTAAAAATAATTTAAAAGTTGTAGAAATGTTTAGAAATTATATTTAATGTAAAGTTTTAAGTATGGTTTATTCTTTATTCTTGATTGTGTGTTAAAATTCTTATGAATTACAGAGTGTTTATGCTTGACCATAAATGAAATTAACTTTTTGAATTATGAATTATGCATGATTTATTTTTGATCGCTCATAAAGTTAGCGTAAATTTTGAAATTATCTAATATAATATTATTAAAATTTCTATTTATTAATTACTTCTACGTTTATTAAAAATATTTTTACTCATTTCCTTTTAGGCACTTTCATATTTACATCAATATGCTTTACACAATAATTTGATTACACGATCAATTATTGTTACGGAAAATTGTGATATCAAATTGACTGGTTTCAAATGGACAGTGTTAAAAACTGAAGATATTCGAAAGGCTCTTAGGTTTTCTATTATTATCCTATGAAACAAAAGTTGAAATCAAATATAATTAATTCAGAGAGTTGAATTCAGATACAATTAATTTAAATTCAATATATTTCTATCATTTTTTTTTCTTGAAAACAACAAAGCTCCAATTTTCATCTAAGGATAGGAAAAATGAGTTATGGAAACTATAAGTGAATCGAATTGAAATCAGATAAAAAATGTAGTATCTTCTCAAAAAATAATAAACTGCATATAGTTTAATGGATATTGAATATTTTAGTTTGCGGAATAATCGTTTCTTCGGGCGACCAACGCAATGGGCACCGGAAGAAGCTCTCAATAATATTGAAAATTACGGACCACATACTGAACTTTGGTAGTTTAGTCAGTATTGATTAGTAATAGTTAGTTGAGAGAATTAAAGAATTAAATTCAAAAATATTCACACGAATATATGAATTGTTTGCTTTTATTTTTAGGCATGTAGGATTATTAATACCGGAAATGGTTACTGGTGAAACGTTTCATTTGACTAATACGATGTATTCGAAGGATGTGAAACAATATGCTGAACAACTTGTAAGTTCATCTAATCATTATTTAATATATCCACTGAATGCAGTTTAGTTAAATTTTAAATTCATTTCTAAATCTTAATCTTGCAGATGAAATTTCAATTACCTGTACCATATAATGGATGGTTTCCAAGTGGAGTAAAATTTGTAAGTTTCATTCTTCAGTTTTCTTTCAATAAAAGCATTCTTTAACATCACATAAACAGTACAGTAGGTTATTTGCATGTGATATTACATTTCTTACTGTATTCATTCGCATTACAGTAGGATAATAAAATAATGCTACTTTGTTACTGTATTTATTCGCATTACAGTAGATGGGTTTATCATTAGATTTGTTTCTTTTTACTTTTAGTCTGTTTCCTCAATTTTTATTTTTTCTCCAAAGTATCAGAAGTATTTCTATTTTTTTTTTCATGGCATTATATTTGCCACATTTATATACTTTATGTTGAAGTAAATTCAGTGCATTATTTGATTATCATTACTTGTTTCAGTCATTAAGTTCAGAAATTCTACGATTATGGCATTGTTTAATGCAACCAAATCATGAAAAACGGCCAACCATTGGCGAACTTCTTGATCGAAAAGTCTTTAAAATTATAAAATCAGTTGATAAATCAGAAATTCGAGAAGTTTTGCTTGCTAGCGGTAAGTTTTTGTATTTTCATTGCTTCTAAATCTTTTAAATCATAGCATGATTAATTTTGATTTAGCAAAAAAGTATCGGGTAACTCCTGATGAGCTACCAGAGCCGTTACAAAAATGGATTCAACTAGTAAATTATTCGCGTGAACGCGGGGCAAATGATGTTACGCGTTTAGAATCCTTATATCTTGGTATGGGTCGAAATGAATTTTTCTCCTCAGTAAGCTACAAAGACGTAAGTAAATTAACTAATAAAATTTGCTTAAATGCACCTGAAAAGGTATATTTTAGAAGTTTGAATGAGTGTTGACAATTTTTACTCTCATTGAAAGTACTAATTTTAGGAAATTGATGATGAAAATCCAATGTATAAAATTGATTTCCGAAAAGTACCGAATGATTTATTACAATGTGTTTGTATTGTAATACTCAAAAAACGCAAGAAGAAAGCCGCATTAGCTCTTACAGTACACTTAGATATAAATACCACTGATATGTGTACTGTTGTTTGTCGAAATGTTTATAAGTTTGTGCAAAGTGAAGTAATAGGGTAAGTGAGTGCAAAGTATGATAAACCATTTACTTATTTTATGAGTAAATAATTTTACTTATCTTAATTTAGCTCAGATTTGAGGCAATAATACTTGAGGTAAATAAAAAAGTTAGTGTTCAACAAAATAATTGGCATAAATCATTTTAAATGAAATTGTGCTTATTTAGTTTAATTTTTTACATGTTATTAATAGAGATTGGAAATTTTTTCCTTTGCAAAAAGTTAAATCCATTATTTCAGATTTATTAATTACGTTCGAATTAGTTTGGAAATAATTGAGATCTTGAAGCAACGTGAACAAACACGTGCAAAGCATAGAAGTTGGCAAATTTTTTTGGAAGAAGATGAAATCAATGAATTGGAAACTGTTGCGCAAGTTCATATAATATTTGATGGCTTAACCGCTCGAAATGTTTTGGTTAGTTCTTTAGCTAACAGACTTTTTTCTCAGTCTAATGATAAAAATGAATAAATAAATAGGAATTTAAATTTCAATTAAACAAAAATAAAATTTGAGTATATAAAATATTCAAATTTTACTAGAATCCGATAAATGATTGTTAAGATTACCTAAATATATAGTTTGAAACAAACAAAAGTTTCACTATGCATAAATTTTCAGGAGAAGGCAGAAAAAGGAAATTTCGAATTTAAAGATTTCAACATGATCGATTCACCGGCACTTGAAACATTTGCGCAACATATAACAAATGATTAAAATGTAATTAGCAGCTTTTATTTGCACAAAACACTTAGTTATTTCATTTTCTTTTCTTTCGTTACAATCAATTTAATCATGTAGAAAATTTGATTTAATCACTGATTGCTAATTTATTAAAATTTCATTAATCAAATTTTAAAAATTATTTTCAAACTCAAGAAATAACTGAAGTCGTATAATGAATCAAATATGAGCAAAATCTGCAATGTTCAACTACAAAAATTCATTCATATTTAGAGCAATGAATAACAGGAAACAAAAGATGGATGAAGTATATATACTTACCTATATGACGTGAATGAATTTTGTTATATTTTGCTTTTATTTCCCGAGATTTCTCGATCAGTTGCAAGAATTACTCAACCATTAAATATTCCTTACAATTATTGTTTACATCCCAACAACACATTCTTAAAACAATAATACGAACTTTTGTTTGGACTGTTCATTTGCGTATCGATACCAGCAAAGATGAACGATAGAGCTGCTGATCTACGTTTTCCAGTCATACTGATATGTTTATATTGCGTGATTTACGTGGTCGTTTTTCTTGTACTTCTTCCACGTCATTTGATATTTTTATTTATTGTAGCGTTTGGATCTCAAATCTCGTTCCTACATATACATTTTGCATCCTTCAGGATAGTTGTATTGCAGTATTTGTATTCATAACGATACGAATTTGACATTGAATTCTGAATTTTGGTTTACACTTACATATGTTTTAATTTTATTAGTTGTGCTGATATTTGATATATCATTTACGTGATCATTTACGCTTGATGAATCACCCAACTGAATATCAGTAACAGAAATTCTGCGGTGAATTTTCAGATTGATTTCACATAAGGAATGAGTAATTGACGAAAAAAACGAAATGAGCGACAATCATCCACAACTTCATAACGACTTTATTCCTTTTCAGAATTCTGCGTCATCGATCAATTTGAATTGTTGCGGTATGTTGCATATAGTGGATTGAATGGTTACATGTAGATAAAAAAGTGATTGAAGGAATTTATATCATTTATACACGTAATGATCTAAAGATAAAAGAACTTAAATCACAAATTAATTTAATCGTTGTATCAATCGAGTAAAATTTCAGGTGCTACGGGAGAAGTGCAGCATATAAATTATCTTGCCGAACATATAGGGAATTTGTTCATAACTGGTGAATGTAGTGATGTCACTCTGAAGGTTTTATTCACTTTCCTTTATAAAACGCAGCACTCATTATGCTTTTCATTACGTTAATTACCTAAGTTTACCTGAAAATTACTCCTGGAGTGTATAAGTTGCATTTTTAAAGTATTTTATTTCAGGTTGAAGGCCGCTTAGTTGCAGCACATAGAGTTATCCTAGCTGCTCGAAGCCAGTACTTTAGGTACATATCAGCATAATAACTGTTTACGTAGTTGAAATTTCGTACTCATCCTTTGCCCATTCTCCATTAAATTATGCAAACTGTTAAAATATATAAAAATTTACAGTATTTTAGAGCTCTTCTTTATAATGGAATGAAGGAAACGAGAGATTTGGAGATCGAATTAGTCGACACTTCTTTGAATGGTTTCAAAATGCTTATGAAGTACATTCTTTGAAATTTTGTATTCTTGTCATAAATTCCTTTTTGTATTTGCTACAGTTTCAAGTTACTTTCCTAGCCTATTCCAGACATTTACAGGCTTAGTTTCTTCCGTTTATATTTGATGATGATTGTGTTCTAGGTATATATATACCGGTAAGCTGTCGTTAAGTTCAATGAAGGAAGAGCTAGTTCTCGAGGTTCTTGGTTTAGCACACAAGTATGGTTTCACTGACTTAGAAATCAGTATTTCGGAATATATGAAGGTAATTCTTCAGATTTGTATTAGGGGTCACTTTATTTTGAGGCAAGCTTTTCTGAGAAGGCGCAAAATATAGTGTGGTACCTCTTTACCTTCTCCTTTCTCATCTATTTTTAAATTAATAAAAAACGAGATACACACTTAAATAAGAAACTGATAATTTGCAGCACATTTAATTTAGATTAGTTTTTAAGCTAATATAAAATTTCATATCAATTTTCTAGGCAATGTTGAATGTTAGAAATGTTTGTACGATATACAGTGTAGCACATTTATACTCATTGCGCTCCCTTTGTGATGTATGTCTAAATTTCGCTGATAAGCATGCACCTGAAGTTATTTCAACTCAGGTAAGAACTGTTCACTGGTAAGGATGCTGCTATAAATTACACTTGCATATTTCATTTCTCTGTGATATTTTTTCATTTCAAAGATATCAATAGATTTTAGGGCTTCTTGCAACTCCCTGCAAATGCAGTTGAACAAATGATACAACGCGATTCTTTATGTGCACCTGAAATCGATATATTTCGTGCTGTACGTGAATGGATCCGTCAACATCCTGATCAAGTTTGTGCTTTACTGTTGTCAATGAAATAAAATTAATGGTTAATTGTAAAATATTTTAAGCAAGAAGATGCGCAAATGATTGTTGCACGATTACGACTTTCACTAATAAAATTGGACGATTTACTTAATGTTATACGACCTTCCGGTTTAGTTGCCAGTGATGCGATTTTGGATGCCATCAAAGAACGTAGTGAAAAAAAAAGCGGTGAACTTACTTACAGAGGATTTTTGCGTAAGTGTCAGAGTACCTAATTTACTTGTTATGCTGCATCTACATTTATTTCCAAAGAATTCCAAAGAATGATTATTGTGGTCTTAGTAAATCATCGTATGGTAATTGTCGTATCATAGAGATTCAAAAAAGATTTTTTTTTCATTGGAACAAATGATTATTTCACGATTCATTTTTCAGTACCAAATGTAAATGTGATGAGTTCCACCTTCAATGCTACTGTATTAACTGGTGAAGGTTCCACTACTCTTCTTTCTGGCGAAACTAGTCGCTATGATATGGAGCGTGGCTTTACGACTCATGTTATCAGTGATAAAAATCCCGGTATCATTATTCAGGTCAGCAAAGGATTTTTTTCTTCTTTTTTTATTTCTGTTCTGACAATAGCGTATGAGGAAGTTTTTCTTTCTTTTTTTTATTGTTTTCAGTTAACATAATGCCAAAGAGAACTTCATCTAGTGATGCTTTTTTTTCGTTCTGAAGAAAAGTACTGTATTTACAGCTTGGACGCCCGTTCATCATTAATCACATTCGACTGCTTTTGTGGGATCGTGATCAAAGATCATACAATTATTATGTCGAAGTAAACTTTATTTAAAACTCATTTAATTTTCTGTTGATCTTTTGTTTTGATTTTTGATTTTTCATTATTTTATGAACTTGAAAGAAAAGAATTATGCTAAAATTTCGAGTTAATAGGAATAGAGCTAGATTTAATGTAGGTTAGCATTTACTGTTTTTAGATAAGTATGGATCAAGAGGTTTGGATACGTGTCGTAGATCATTCTAATTACCTTTGCCGGTCAAGACAGATGCTCTACTTTACTCCAAGAGTTGTGAAGTAAATTATTTTTGATTATATATAAACTTTTGCCCAGCTTTAGCTAATTTTTGAAGCAACACATTAAATGGTAGAACGGTTATGATAGTGAACTAGATGATTATGCTTATATTATTAACATACATGATTGGAAGATATTGTTGATATAGTCTAAATTTTGAACAGGACTTGTAACACATTTCATACAACTCAGTATCCTTTATTTAATCCACGGCTTAATTATGCTTTACTATGCCTGTTTTTATTTGTTTTATATGATAAAATAAATTTTATAACTTATGGAATTCTCATCTTTATAGCTTTATACGCATCGTTGGGACGTACAATACAGTAAATAATTCATTCCATTTGGTAAGCATTGAAGCAATGTATACATCGGAACCTTTCGATGTTGATCCAGTTACTACCTTACTTGGTAATTCTTTTTTCGGGTAGTAACTAGTAATGACTGAATAAGAATTTTAAACCAAGATCTGTAATTCTTAACTCTAGCTTTATATAAAAGAGTTTAGTAAGAACGTTGTGAGTGAATGTTTTGTCTTTTTTGTTTGTATTTTGAGCCAATATTTCACCAAAATTTTTTCAGTTCCGAGTGCTAATGTGGCAACGATAGCAAACAACGCCATTGTTATTGAAGGAGTTTCACGCAGTAGAAATGCTTTGATAAATGGGGAAACAAGTAATTACGACTGGGACAATGGTTATACTTGTCATCAGTTAGGGTCTGGTGCAATCATTGTGCAATTACCGCAACCATATCTTATCGACTCGATGCGGTATGTTTCGTACTACATTTTATGACATCAATTATTGCATGAAGCTTGCTCTCAAGCAGTCTTTGTTTAATATTTGGTGTTCATCCATTCACATTGCTTGAATTATTTATCTTTTAGTTTACTGTTATGGGACTGTGACGATCGTCATTACTCATATTATGTTGAAGTGTCATGTGATAACACATCTTGGACACGCATAGCTGATAAAACTCAAGAGCACTGCAGGTAACTAAATATTTTTCCTGGAAAATGAATATTTTTTTCAGCACATTTTCTGACAACTGCAATTAATAAATATGCTACAGTGTGCATATATGTAACATATTTGAATTTCATATCACTCATTTATTACTTTATAAATTGTTTTTGTTCATAGAGCATGGCAGATCTTGAGATTTGATCGTCTTCCAGTTGTGTTTATTCGTCTTGTTGGAACGCACAATTCAGGTAAAAGATATTCTCTTCTCCTAAACATACTGAAATCAAATTTTTCATAAAACATTTTGTAACTATTGAAGCTGCAGCTACGTTAATGGTTATCAGTCGTATCATTTATCTTTTGTTTAAAAAAATATTTTTCATGTACCTTTATTATGATGAAGGGAATATATGGATGTTTCATTTGAAAAATATAGATATTTTTTTTTTTTTTTTTTTTTAGAATTCTGTTTTGTTAATGAATGATTGAAAGATCTATGCCTTCTATTATCTCTAATTATAATCAAATTTTTTTTCTTGCTTTTTAGTGAATGAAGTATTTCATTGCGTACACTTTGAATGCCCTGCTCAACGGTCTGCTTTCACTCCGCTGGGAACATTTGGTTCTATGGTTAATGCATCAACATTTGAAAGGAATGAGGAAGTGGATTCGATACGAAATCAATTATCAGCATGTATTTCCGTGACTTCTTCAACCGACTAGTCATAAATTTGTTCCTAAGAAATACTAAACAATAGAAAGTTTCGAGGAATGAATTAAAGTCCAAGGTTCACTTGGAAAAAATGAATTCAGCGATATCTTAATAAAGGAAAACTGTCTTTCTATTTTTCCTATTATTAATAGATTTATCAACAGTAGGAGAATCATTTGTTTCTTCTGTTTGTTATTCTATAAGCGCAACTTTATGCTTCTTCTTGCCATATTATTTTGCCTTTATAATATTAATAATACATTACAAGCAGTACCATTCTATTCTTCCGTCAAGAAAATATTTTGCATTTAGTGAAAATTCCTTGCTTGTTGCGAAAGGTCACAATTTGCTTGTAGTTTTACTCTATAGCATTTTTTCATCCTAATATGCTACATTTTATTTATTTAATGATTCTTTTTTACTGTTTGCTGGATTTTATGCCGAAAATGAAAATAAAGCTATTTCCTGTAAGTTTTTCTGGAAGGATTTCGCGAAAATACATTGTATTCAACTTTAGTTATGAATTATATCATATAGTATGATAGGATGTAAATGTTGTGCAATGAAAAAATAGTGTGGAATTTTTTAAATCTAATGTTATTAGTTTTTTTTTTTTTTTCATGAAAAAAAAACGAAGCATATATATCCTAATTTTTAATTATTATGTAACCTAAATGAATATGTTAATTTTATATAGCTCTGTTTTTTTCTCTATTTTTTTTTTCCTTTCACATCATTCATTCTATAAGCTTTTGCCAAAAAAGCTGAATCTGTGCTACTGTACAGTATACATATATCATTATCTAGAATAAAATATGCAATAGAAGTTTACATTTCCGAAACAATTTCACAAATAGTTTTCAACAAATCATTGTCATTGTCAGATGATAGTAATATCTCTTTGGAATTAATCAGATCACTGAGTTGATAATAGTCAAGGAAAAAACAAAATTACAAAAGTATTTAATTCATGTCATCATATTCGTCAATATCTGAGAAGTATTGCCCATCGTTATGTTCGTTCAATTCATCTAGGCTCCTTTTTAGATTCTCATCATCAATATCATCCCTTTCCTAAATTAGAAAGATGGAACCTATTTAGTAGATTTATATATAAAGAATGTGAAAGAGGAGAAAAAGATAGTTAATTACTTGCATAAATTAATTGAAATGACCTGATTAAACTTTTTAAATTCGACCAATTGATAAAGCACAAATTCGAGTACTTTTTTTGGTCCTCTATCATTTTCTGGTAAACATTTTGTGATATCATAAATTTCACCAACTTCATTTAAGAAATATTCCAAATCACTTTCTTCACCTTAATTTTAATTAATTTAAATTTGTGTTATTTTGTTCCAGTTTTTAAAAATTAAATCTCATTTAATACAACTCTCAATTTTCATTAGTAATTATGATTATTAATAGAAATCGTTAACTTTTCATTGACTTCTCATTTCTTTTATATATAACCTTGTAATTAAGTACTTTATTTGTTTGCCATTTAATAAAAAATAAATTCAATTTTTTAAAATTTTGGCATAAGATTTTACGATGATATAATTTAAGTACGAAAATTTACAACAAGGTGTATCATCAGAATGTGATGCACTAAAATTGTTATTCTTGATGGAACTACATAATCAATCAGTTAGCTGATCATTATCGATCTAGATCGATGATGGAAATCAGTCAATTCAGTCAGTGTCAATAATACCAATATTACTAATTAGTTGGGCCTAAATTAGTAGGCATTAAAATGAAATAGGCTTAACAATGATATATTATTTGAGATATTTAAGTATTAATTTTATTATTTTCTTAACTAATTAATACTTTTTTTGACTGATAAGAGCATTTTACTTTAAGGAGGCGATATTATTATGTAATCCTTTATGCAAATTTTTTAATGATTGATATGAATAATTGATTGGATTAGATGTTCGTTTTCTAAATATCATTAATCATGATTGTATGGTGATTAATAATTGCTAAAATCATAAAATCTTTACATTTATTGGTAAGTTGAGCAAGTCGAACATCTGCTGATGAAAACATATCATCTAAATCGAATAATTCCAGTTTAGGTGGTGGTAGTTCTCGAAAATCTGGTGGAAATACCTGTAATTTAATAATAATAATAATAATAAATCATCTATGAATAACTTTTATAATGAATGAATTATGCATACAGCAGGTGTAAGTGGTGGTTGTGGTACTTCAAATTGTGGTACGATAAGTGATAACGGTTCATGCTTTAAACCAAGCTGTTCAAATGCTCTGCAATAAGCAAATTTAGAAAAAACTGAAATTATTTTACATAATATAATAGTTATGCTTAATTAATATAATTAAAAACAATCACCAATAATAATTAGAAATAACTATTAAATATAAAAAATTGTAATCATATTTGTGGGTAACTGTTTTTATTAAAAACTTGTCAATTAAAAGAACTTTCTAACTGTTGTGAATTTTTTTGAAAAATTTCCGAACAATTTCAATATGTTTTCCTCTTATCTTCTTTTTTTTCTGTCTTTTAGATTTTAAATAGAATTTATATTTAAAGAAGAAAAAAAAAGCATTTTAGTTGTATTAAGCTTAATTATTGAACTGATTTCCTTACAACATCCCATTTAATTCATCGAATGCTAATGGTTGGTTTTTTTTTTTTCTCTTTTTCCTTTTATATTGTAAATTACCTGATAGTTTTAGGCCATACAGAAAGATCCATAGCATAAAGGTTAATATCAAAATATCTGAGGAAATCACTACTCTGATTCATTTCATATTCATCTTCTTGTAGACATACTTTAATTTTTTCCGATAAATCAATATGGTCCGGTATATGATGCATATCAATCAAATCCGGTTCCTTACTATCGACTGTATTCAATGCAAAACCTTCCGTTACATATTTCATAATAACATCCTGAAAAATTAACATATTAGATTTTTATTATATTTAAAATTGAATGTTTTCTCTTTTTGAAAAGAGACTAATTTTCAAGTTTGCAGTTAAAAATGAATGCATGAAATTTAATTAAAGGATTTAAATTTCATTGTTATGCACCACACTCACTGTTCTGAATGAAATATTTTTTCTTCGTCAATTTTTCTTCGATTATTAGATTGGTGGTCAACTTACCCATATTTTACTATTTTCTTCTTTTTCAAAATATTGATCGATGAACATATGAACTGAACCAATAACTATCAATTTACCACCTTTCTCCTAAAATAGCAATCATTTCTTCTTATATGTTGTAAATTTTTTGTTTCAAAAATTAAAAGTTAATATTAAAGTTTTAATTAATTCGCTTCATACCGTTTGATGAAATGCGCAAATGGGTCGATTGTTTGGATAACATACACTACCCGTAGATAGTACCGCCGTAGATTTTCGACCAACAGTCAATGTTGCTCCATATGGATAAACAAATTGTAAGCCACTAAAAAGTAGCATAGCAATTGATATTTGACAATAAATAAAATTAAATAATGGAAAATAAATTTAAAAAAGAAAGTGAATAAACTAAAATTAATTGCTAAAGTAGAAGACTATCATATAACAAACATTAAACTTTAAACATTTTAAAACAGATATTTGAAAAAAAAAAAAAATAAACTGATAGTTTAAGTTTTCTTAAAAAGTTTTTTGTTTAATTGTTACAATTATCAAAAGAACTAATAATTTTTGCAATTTTGTTGGATTTAATGTGTGGTAATTAGAATTTATATTTTAAAAATTTTTACAGTGCATTAATTTCTTCATCATTTGAATGTGTCAATTTGCCAGCTGTTAATGTAAGCGCACGATTTAAGACACCATTAGCAACTAATGCTTCCTTTGGATCAAAATATTTGTAAAATGTTGTTCGAATTACAGAATCTAAAATGAAATTTCCATTCACATAAAAAATACTTCGTTTTTTAGTTTCATAAAACATATAGTTTCAATTTATTTTTTATTTTTTTTGTATGATAAAAAAGATATTCATCAAAAATATTTTTAATAAAAAAAATAGCAGTTTGATTTATAGTTAAAAAAAAAATGAAAATATATGATTTTAATTTAGTGATTAATTAATTAATATTATTAGTCCTTTTTTGCTAGAAGTTGAATTACAATTAAAAATTGCAGATAACAATTAAACAATATTGTTTTGATCAAATATTCATTTGTTTAAATAATTCAAAATTTGTTACTTATATTAAATGTTACCATTATTACATGAAATATCATATTGTTCGATTAAAAAATTAATATTTGTGTCAGCAATTTGTTCACCTCCTTCACTCATTAATACTAATACACTATTACCATCATCGATGAAATGTTTCAGATGATCAATCTATAAATAAAATTGTTGCTAATTACTGTCAGTCATTGTTGAAAAGATAATTTTAAATGTTAAATAGATTACAATTTTAATTTAATTATTATTCAATGGGATAATTTGTGTAAATATTGAATTATAAATACATTAATAAATATTATAATTACATTATATCATAATGTGTTACAAAGCAAATTGCTATTCAAATCATAATTTAAAAAATAGTTCCTTTTTAAACATATATATGAGAGTTATTGATTTTTAAATATGAGAGTTATTGATTTTCCTTTATATACAGAGAGAATATACAAAACAATTTTAAGAAAAATTTTGGTTTTGCTAAGATAATTAAGTGTGAACAAAAATTTACAGAATACACTAAAAATTTAAAAATAAGTGATATTATCTTAATGCAACTAATATCAAAATCAAACTCAATAGATATTGTTTCCTTCTATAATAGATTTCTTTATAAGAATAACAAAAATTTATTAAAAAAGAAAAAAAAAAATTCGTTTCTCAAAAATTAACAAGCAGAATACTTACCTCATTTTGTGAAAATTTTCTTCTTGGATATGGTAAAACAAATAAGCAACATTCAGTAAAGGTATTCGCATTAATTTCATTCGTATTACTAAAAAAATTTCGAGTAAAATTTAATTTATGCAGTC